CTTTCTTTTCTTGCAGGTGTATTAAGCCAGAGTTGAAATCTTTTGCACTGGGTATTCACACAATGTCAGTGAGAGTTCTTGGTGAGTCTTGGCTTCCATAATTCCGTAATAAGAGATACAAACCACGGGAACTGCAGATACAATTATCTTATATTATATTTGGTATTCAGTTTTAAGAAAAACTTGGATTAAGGTTGTAACGGATCACCTGGCACCCCGACTGGGTACCTCCGTTGAAAGATGCTCCTAGCGCTTCCAGAGGACTCCAAGCACTCCACCAGACACCATAAGCACCGCAGGCTGCAGCTATCTCCCTTCAGAACGAAGCAGGAACAAGCTCTTACAAGAGCTCAGTGATTATAGCAAGGGAATATGCCTAGCATAGCAATCCCTTGTAGCAGATTCCCCCAATAAGAGACAGGACTCAAGTTGAGGGTAAAAATAGAACTCTCTGGCTGCTAGCTTGCAGCCCTTTTTATTAGGTGCTCCCATGAAGGGGAGGGACACACACAGTAACGTACATTAACCAATCACACAATAGTTACATCCCACACATAGCCCTCCCCTCTACCTGTAAACTAATTATCTGTACACACAGGGAAATACAATTATCATAGGTAGGGAAAATACAGTTTTTACACAACATTCATAACTCCCAAAATATACATCACATTCGCATAAAAATACATATTCACAATCAATCCATTCAGGGGAACAACATATTAAAAAATGGCATGAATCAGACCAGGGGTATAAAAGTTAGTAAAAGTATCTTTTGTTTCCCCTGGCTCAAACAGTAAAAGTAAAACATCCCCACAATGCATCCTGGCTTCCTCCCTTCTGCCCTGGAGATAATTGGAGAAGGAATCTAATTATCTCCAAAGACAGAGCCAAACTCCATTACCCACATGGCAGACAAAAGACAGTAAAAGACATAAAATTACATACTGACACATTTAGTACATAAAACACACATTTCTACATATCCCCAGATAGCTTGGATCTGACTGCACATTATTAGATGAATGGCACTCAGATCCCACGAATAAGCCTTTCTGCAGGGAAAATAAACAGTTTAACCTGCAGGGCCATAGTCCAAAGGCAAGAGGCGGGCAAGCAGCCCCCTCCAAGGACACGTGGCGAGGTCGGTTTTGCCACACTTCTCCCCTTTGCCCCCAGACTAACAGGGTATCTGACCTCCTGCCGGTCAGTGCCCTGGTTAGTCCAGCAACCCACCCACGAAGCACAAACAGCAGTACAGCCCACCCACAATAAATGTTTACTCCACCTGGATAAAGTAGCAACTTGTCCATGTCCAGGTGCCTCACCCCGGCTGTGTGGGGAGCTGGTAGACTGCCTTGGTGGGTTGCTGAGTGGGCAGAGACCAGCGGTACTCTGCCCTGGTGCCAGTGCTACCACCGAAGTAGCCTGATTGGAGCCTGGTTGTGGGAGGGGGAGATCGACCGTCTCCCCTCTGGGTACACAGCTCTGGGGCTGGGGAACAGGACCGACCGTCTCTACCCCTTGGGCTGTAAGCGCAGAGACTACGGTCCCATCTGCACAGTTGCGGGGCTCAACATCTCCCCTTGGTGGGTTAGGCTGCAGCTGGAGAGAGGGTGTAACAAGCTCCTCTCTCTGGACTGTCAACTGCCGCTGGGGAGAGGGGTTAACAGGCTCCTCTCCCTGACACTCTCTCTGCTGGTGGAGAGGCGGACCAGCTGTCTCCCCTTTCATTATTTTGTCCTGCTGCTGGGGTGTGAGACTGATGGTCTCTGCTCCCTGCAGGACACACTGCCGCTGGGGAGGAAGGACGACACCTTCAGCTCCCTGGGGTACACACTGTCGCTGGAGAGGAAGGATTGCACCCTCAGCTCCCTGGGGTACACACTGCTGCTGGGGAGGAAGGACGACACCTTCGGCTCCCTGGGTTACACACTGCTGCTGGGGAATGGAGACTGGGCTCCCAATTCCCTGCATATCACACTGCCGCTGGGGAATGGAGACTGGGCTCCCAATTCCCTGCATATCACACTGCCGCTGGGGAATGGAGACTGGGCTCCCAATTCCCTGCATATCACACTGCCGCTGGGGAGAGGAGACTGGGCTCTCTCTGTCCCGCAACTGTAGCTGCCGGTGGAGGTCCACCCACCGTGGCAGCTGACCGTCACCCTCTGCCCGGTACAGCAGAGTCTTGAATACTAGACTCCTCACGAACTTCACGGATTTCTCAGCTGGATTAGGTCCGAAGAAGTTCAGCCGCAACCACATCATACGGTCAAATTCCTGTACAGAGTATCTGTACTCCACTGCTGGTTCCATTCTGTTGCTGTCAGGGTCGCTGTACTGAGACATGCGTTGCCCTCAAATTGTAAAATCCACGGAATGGTGTCTCCTGTAGCTGTCCTTCTGGCTGTAGGAACGATCCCGCCGCTTGCCACCAATTGTAACGGACCGTTTTGCACACAAGGGGAAAAAACCGTTTAGGCGATCGGCCCCCTTTCCAGAGATACAGGCACAGCTACTGCAGAACACCAAACTCACGAACTGGATACAAAATAGCACTCCAACTCCCGAACTGGAACCTCCCAAATAGCTGCTAGCAGACGAACAGGAAAAGCAGACAATCAGCTTACACTCCTGGCAATCAGTCTCTAACAGCATACAGTGAATCCCCCCAAGAACGAGACAAGGCTCCGTGTTGAGGGTCAAGCAGTGGTCTGAGGTGCTGGCACACCCAGCCTGGTTTTATTACAGTGTTTCAAATACAGGACCACCCACAGGGAGGGATAAAACAACCAATCATATCACAGTTACATCCCACATATTCCCTCCCCTTATCCTGAGAGGAAACTCAATTATACAAACAGTTAAAACATACTTTCTACCCAACTTTCATAACTCCAAAACCATACATCACATTCACATAAAATTACATATTCTCAATCAATCCATTCAGGGGAACAACATATTCAAAAATGGCACAAATCAGACAAGGGGTTCAAAAGTTAGTAAAAAGTCCTTTGTGACTAAATGAAGCATGGCTTTCTGGCCCAAACCAGTTTCAGAGTCTTCTATCCTGGAGATAAGTAATTGAATTATCTCCCAGGACAGACACAAGACTCCATTAAGCACATGGTTGCAAAAAGACACAAAGCACTTTAAAATACATAAAGTCACATTTATACATAAAACATAGACATTTCACATATCCCCAGATAGCTCAGGTCTGAGCGCACATTATTAAGTGAATGGCGCTCGGACCACACAAATACAGTTTAATCACCATGGAGCCAAAGTCTTTACAGTCAGTTTCATACAAATGGGCTCCATGGGATTCCTATCTGGGGTATAACACATTCAAACAAATCTACTGAACCCCAGGCAGAAAAGCACGAATACAGCTTTTCTGCAGGCAAAAATAAAGTCTTTTAAAAGGGGGCCATAGTCCAAAGGCAGCAGGCGAGCAACCAGGCTTCTCCAATGCAATGTGGCGAGATTGGTCTCGTCACAACAAGTATGTCCCGTCTAGGCCGTTACGCTCTGCTAAAGAATATGTCTATCTTATGTCCGTAGTCCCATCTCTGATGCTCACCTTCAAGACTTATCGAGGGCTTCACTGTTCCTGTGGAACTCACTTCCCTCCTCTGTTCGATGCTCACCCAAATGTTGCTGTTTATTTGCTTAGTAGATATAGTTAAGACCCTAATGTGGTACAATTAATTATGGCATTTACAGTTACAGTTTCCAAATTAGGTTGCTATCGAATAGACAGCTAGTAGAGCAAACATAAGTAAAAAAGGTCTTAATTTTGCTGTTTCAGTTGCTTAGTAGAGAAGTCCCTAATTTGGTACCCATAGTTATGGCAATCCCAAAGGATACCAAATTAGGGAGCTATCTACTAAATATTTGAAAGAGCAAAAATAAGCAAAAAAAACCCTCAATTTTCTTAACTTTGCTGTTTCTATTGCTTAGTAGATCCAAAACTTTTCTAATTTATTATACATTTTTTATTTTTTTGTTCATTTTATTTTGAATGAAACCCGATTTGGATGAAATTAATTTCAGATACCTAATAGAAACCCTGATGGTGTTACCCAAAGACAGTTCCAATAAACCACATGATACATAGACCTGTCTTTTAGGATCTCCAGGATCTGAAAGCACAATGCAAACTCATTGGGTGACATGAGAAGTGCTATTTGGTCTAAGGGTCTATATCAATTGAAAATTATATTTTTTTTTCAAAAATACCTCAAAATATTTGTATGATTAATAGAGTTGAGCGGTCACCTGGATGTTCGGGTCAGGCAGGTTCGGCCAAACTTTGAAAAAAAGTCCAGGTTCGGGCTCGAACTTGACCATGAACACGAACCCCAGTCAATGGGGACCTGAACTTTTGGCCACAAAAATGCCTCTAAAAGACTCATGGTAAGAGCTAGAGAGCTGCAAAAACAAGTAAAATGGTGGTAAGAGTAGGACAAGTTCCCTGCAAACAAATGTGGATAGGGAAATCACTTAAAATAACATAAAAATTTAAAATAAAACTGAGCAATAAAATAGCACTAGATGGAATCTTTGATTTTAGCTTTGGAAGAACATAAATCAAAATCTAAAGCATGACTGTCAAGAGGATCAACAGAATTATCCATTTGAGAGAGGGTTGGAGTACAGGGTATTCTTTCATTGTTCAAACTGAGCTCAACTCCTGATGCATGGAGAAAAGGCCTTTACAAGCCTCTACTAATGTGTACATAGTTTATACTAAGTGACCCATAGGTTGAGGAGGCGGTGACCGTGGCGGTGTAGGTGGAAGCAGCGGTGGAGGAGGAGGATGAGGTAGCCAACACTGTTTTTTTATATATTTTTTTTTTATTTAATTGTGGTAGCCCACAAAATATTGGGACATACAAAAAAAGAAACATTTGGGGCCTGCGGTGCATTTCTTGCAGTCCTGATGCATGGAGAAATGCTCGACTCCTGATGCATGGAGAAAAGGCATTTATAAGCCTCTGCTGATGTGTACATAGTTTATACTAAGTGGCCCATAGGTTGAGGAGGCAGTGACCGTGGCGGTGGAGGAGGAGGATGAGGTAGCCAACACTGTTTTTTATATATATATTTTTTAATTGGGCTAGCCCCCAAAATTTTGGGACATATAAAAAAAGACAACTCTGTTCTGCAGAGTAGCTGTTGACATAGTTACGCAGGCACTTTGTTGACTCTAGAGAACCTCGGGCCAATCACACATCCCTGTGGCAGCGACTTTGCATGCGGATGTCGTTCATATCAACTTTCGATGCCAGTTTCTGCGCCTACCATGGTGACCACGGGTAACAGGGAATCAGGATTCCATTACGTACAGGGACCCTGAGAAACAGCTACCACATGCAAGGAAGGCAGCAGGCGTGCAAATGACCCACTCCCGATGTAGGAAGGTATTGACGACAAATAACAATACAGGACTCTTTAGAGTCCACTTGATATCTTTTAACTCTGATCAATTGGAGGGAAGTCTGGTGCAGAGCCACTGACCCATGCATGCTGCAGCTGAAACTCCACTATCGCCTGCTGCTGCTGCTCGCACAGTCTCATGAGTTGGTGAGTGGGAAGGCCAAAGTTACGCTGCAGCGCAGACAGGCAAGCAGCAGCAGGGTGACAACGCCAAAAGCGTGCACAGCCACTACAGTGAATGTCACATCCTATTCCAAGTTGCGGATCCGTCTGGTGATGGCTTTTGGTATCCAGTACTCTTTTTACTGAAGCTACACCAGGGTCCTGGTATGTGGCCGCACAAATGCTGGTGCTCAAGACCAGGGGGCATGCGGTTACCCTACACCAGACCCTGTTTATCATTCCACATTGTGACTCCTAATTTCAACATCAGGCATACCGGGTCCGGTCATCCGACCGCCGCCCAGACAGTGTCTGGGTCCTGGTCACCGGACTGCCCACCTGACAGTGAAACTACGAATGGATCGTTAAATCTGGTATGAACCCGAACTTTGAAGTTCAACTCTATTTTCTATCACTTAGATCTGTGTAACAAGTGTTGTAGGTGTGAAACAATATTACAAGTGACCAATGTAGTAAATATGAATCAAAGTTACGCTTCGATTTTACTCTCACATATGAAGTGAACACCCCAAATATACTATTTAGCACCAAAAAAATTGACTTTTTAAAACTCCAATGTAAGCAGCAGATTAGCAGCAAAACAATTAGAATGTTTACAACTGTGCGGTAAGCGCACTATTTGACGCTTCAATTTGACTCTCAGATATGAAGAGCAGGCCACAAAATGTACTATTTAGCAGATTAACATCAAAACAATTCGAATGTTTACCACTGCGCTGTAAGCACACTATTAGACGCTTCGATTTGACTCTCAGATATGACGAGCAGGCCACAAAATGTACTATTTTGGCAGATTAGCACACATCATCTTCCACCCACTCCTCAACCCTGCCCTCCTTGCCGGTCTGCACACTGCAGAAAGCCACAGCAGTTGGCACCTGTGTTTTTCCAGCATGTAAAGTCTGCAAAGGACATATGGAAATTGTTTTAGAATTTCCTCCAGGCAACAGTTTTCCCTATAAACTGACCTCTCAGTTTGACTTGTGAGGGTATTGCCCCAGAATTACAATATTGTTTAAGTACCTCTTAGCTATTGATCACTGGTTTAAATATAGCAGTTTGTTATCTGGTAGTTTCTAGTGTAGAAAATATCAATCTGTTTTCTATCACTTAGATCTGTGTAACAAGTGTTGTAGGTGTGAAACAATATTATAAGTGACCGATGTAGTAAATTCGAATCAAGGTTACACTTTGATTTGACTCTCACATATGAAGTGAACACCCCAAATATACTATTTAGCAGTAAGTACACTATTAGACGCTTCTATTTGACTCTCAGATATGAAGATCAGGCCACAAAATGTACTATTTAGAAGATTAACACCCAGAAAATAAGAATGTTTACCACTGTGCTGTAAGCACACTATTAGACGCTTCGATTTGACTCTCAGATATGAAGTGCACCCCACTAAAATACTATTTAGCAGTTTAGGACCCAAACATTTTTAAGTTTTAAAACTGCAATGTGACAGCAGTATTTTACGGTTCTATTTGACTCTCAGATATGAAGTGCACCCCACTAATGTACTACCCCACTAATGTACTATTTAGCACCTAAAAATTTTTACTTTTTAAAACTCTGATGTAACCACTGTATTTGATACTTCTATTTGACTCTCAGATATGAAGTGCACCCCACCCTACTAATGTACTAGTTTGCAGAATTCTTTCCTAAGCTGTCCCTATCAGCGGCAGCATCCTCTCCCTACACTAATAAGACCGCATGTGTGTGCGGCGCTACGCGACTCCAGCTTATATATAGAGGCTGGGTCACATGCTGCACTGGCCAATCACAGCCATGCCATTAGTAGGCATGGCTGTGATGACTTTTAAGGGCACACGAGTCAAACGCTTGTTGATTGGCTGCCCTGCAGCCTTTGAAAATGCGCTGAACACCAACCCGAACATACAGTGATATGTCCGTGTTCACGTCCGGGGTCCAAAAAACCTGATGTTCGGTATGATCCCGAACTTTACAGTTTGGTTTCACTCAACTCTAATGATTAGTTAAACAGTGTCTCAGCAGCATCTACAGTCATCACTAAGGAGGGAGGAAACTGCAGAATGATGATGGCAAGGACACTTTTTCTTCACATGCACACTTTTCATCAGTACTTAGCACATTAATGGATTTCATTTTTTTTATTATTATTTACAAACAAAACAGCCGACTAACAGGAGCTAAGCGGTAGCTCCAATTACCTCACATCAGGGCCGGACTGGGGATACGAAGCAGCCCTGGAAAAAGATCTATGCCAGCCCCATAAGTCATTGTGCTATGTAGGGTGCTTATATCTATCTATATATATATATATATATATATATATTTATATATAGATAGATATAAGCAATTGAAATAGTTGGCTGCACTCTCGGATTTCCTGAAAATGCAACTTTTATTGAAATATTTAAGAGAAGATCAATGTTTCAGTCCCTCTTGTGGACTTTCGTCATGATCTTGATGCAAGTCCACAAGAGAGACTGAAACGTTGATCTTCTCTTAAATATTTAAATAAAAGTAAAATTTTCAGGAAATCCGAGAGTGCAGCCAACTATGTCAATTGCCTATATATATACTGGATACTGGAGCCCTGGTGATGCAACAGTATATATATATATATATATATATATATATATATATATATATATATATATATATATATATATATATATATATATATATATATATATATATACAAATATATATACTCCTGTAGAGATAGATTAATGCCTGGTGCTAATAAAGCAAATAACATAAAAATAAAAATGGTAGGTAACAGCACTCTAAGGACTTCAAAAAGTAAATGGTGAAAAAAACTTAGCTTTTATTCAGCAACTGCCACACACAATCGACGTTTCAGTTCTTAATACAGAACTTTCATCAGGATAAGGTGCATTACACAAACCAACATTAATATATAAAAACAAATAAGTACATAACATGCAAAACAGGTGTAGCTTACCCCAATCCCTGTGTGGTCCCCATGGTGATTGCCAAAAAACGCGGGTAAAATTAACCCCTGGAAATGTATTCAGCAGCTGGGATGTGCTGCTGTGTAACCTCATAATGCTGGCAATAGCTGGAGCCAAAGGCTGTCTGTATTACCATATCGTTATGGTAACCAAACTGCTCGTGTGGAGGTGGGCGGGGCGGAGCATCAGGTGGGCGTGGCTATGGTCCGATCTGTAGAGTGTACTCAGTGCACAGAGGGCGGGTGTCTGGTATGGGGGAGGGATCCTCTCTCTGCATACTTGTGATGCCTCACTGGTTTAAAGGATTTTTTTGTGTATATATATTGGACTCTAAGAATTAACCACCTCTGTATATTAGTTTATAGCCTGTATGTTCTTTATGTATGCGTATTATACTGTGGACCGATGGGCGCACTAAAGTTTGACACATTACCATTGGACAGCACCGACATTATATGTATTCCTTGCATATATAAATGACAATGGTCTGTCTAGACACACGTCCCCGCAGGAACTTTAGAATCACCACTATTCTTTTTATGACAGTGTATTATTATTTAACACATTTATGGGTCATGCTCTATCCATGGTTGAAGTACTAACCTTGGATATAACATTATCCATGTATGATTATGCCATAAGGGCTGACTTATTATACAGCTACCCTGGGAATAATAAACCCAGCGTGCCCTTTGTATCTATTCAAGGGCGTATTGTTTACTCCTTGTCTATTTATTCATTCAATATCAGACATTATGACATCTAGCTCCTGCTATGCTACACTACATACATGTAGTCAGCATCTGTAATATAGCCCTGATTCCACTCTATATCCAGCCTCAGACCCTGCTATTTGCAAGTTAACCTAGAGGTATTCTATATAGGTCACTTTCCCAGCCCTCTATGGTCACACAATAGCTTTGTTTTAGACCTACTTCTTTGCCATGTTTTTGACATGGAAGTCACAATGTAGTGTCCTTTATGTCTGTGCTCTCTACCCCTGTTAGCAGATTATCCCTCTGCCATCTATCCTTTAAACCAGTGAGGCATCACAAGTATGCAGAGAGAGGATCCCTCCCCCATACCAGACACCCGCCCTCTGTGCACTGAGTACACTCTACAGATCGGACCATAGCCACGCCCACCTGATGCTCCGCCCCGCCCACCTCCACACGAGCAGTTTGGTTACCATAATGATATGGTAATACAGACAGCCTTTGGCTCCAGCTATTGCCAGCATTATGAGGTTACACAGCAGCACATCCCAGCTGCTGAATACATTTCCAGGGGTTAATTTTACCCGCGTTTTTTGGCAATCACCATGGGGACCACACAGGGATTGGGGTAAGCTACACCTGTTTTGCATGTTATGTACTTATTTGTTTTTATATATTAATGTTGGTTTGTGTAATGCACCTTATCCTGATGAAAGTTCTGTATTAAGAACTGAAACGTCGATTGTGTGTGGCAGTTGCTGAATAAAAGCTAAGTTTTTTTCACCATTTACTTTTTGAAGTCCTTAGAGTGCTGTTACCTACCATTTTTATTTTTATGTTATTTGCTTTATTAGCACCAGGCATTAATCTATCTCTACAGGAGTGCAAGTATTTGAATATTTTATATATATATATATATATATATATATATATATATATATATAGTTATTGATACATTTCTTCTTCTAATTCAAAATATTAGTTCTTTCAGGGTAATTAAATTATACAGTAAAGCATACTCACACACAGACAGACAATCTTACTGATGCACACAAATAGGCTCATTGACAGACAATGACACACACAGACAAGGTTACTGGCACACACACAAATTT